CGTCGCCGCGTCCTCCGTCGAGCTGGTGGCAAGAGCCAGGACCCAGGAGGAGGAGGAGGCGGAGGAGGAGGAGGAGGAGGAGGAGGAGGAGGAGGAGGAGGAGGAGGAGGAGGAGAGAGGAGGAGGAGGAGGAGGAGGAGGAGGAGGGAGGAGGTGGGCCCGCGTAAACGCCCGCTTGCCAGTGTGCACCACCCCAGGGCCCAGGACGGCCCAGGCCTGGGCTGGCGCTGGAGGAGGCCCACGAGAGCTGCCGACTCCGAGCTCCTGAGCAGGGTGCCTTCGGGCCTGCCCGCCGGCGACGTGGGGCAAGCGGGGCAGGCGGACCGCGGCCCCCCCCTCCTCGCCCGCCGGCCCGGCCGCTCGGCTGCGCGGCCCACGGCGCCGTGGCCCAGCGCCGCCCAGCGCTGCGCCGCGGCGCCGAGCGCTGCACCGCGGCTCCGCAGGACGGCCCCGGCCCTCCGCCCAGCCGCCGCCCGGCACGGTGCGCAGGGGCCGCCCTCCGACCTGCGCGCGCGGCCGCGGGGCTCCTCGCGAGGCCGCGCGCTGCGCGGCAGCGCGGGCGGCAGCGCCGCCGAGCCGCCCCGGGGCGCCGCCACCTGGGCTGGACCGGAGTGCCGTTCGCGCCGCCGCGGGCGGCAGCCGTGGTCTCAAGGGGGGAGAAAAATCCCCCCGGACCGGACAACTGGCGTTTACGGAGCGGCCCTGGAGGTTTCCTGAGCAGCCCTGCCCTGCTCGATTCCTTCTCTGGGCTGGGCGCGTTTGCGAAAGGCCTCGCGTGTCGGGGTGGTTATGGTCGGGGTGGCTTTTCTGCCCTCTATGGTCAGAGGATGGCGAGTCGTTCGGTCGCAAATCTTGGGGGCCGTGTGTGCTGCAGGCTCGCGTCGTGTCGACCGGCGGCGACCCCACCGCCGGCGTTCAAGGTTGAACGCCGCCGGCGACCCAGAATCGGTAGATGTTGAACGATCTGACGTTTCGGAAACGGCCGATCATTCAGGGTTGAACGCCCGGGTGCAAACGACACGAACCTGCCGTACCCTCGCACCTGAGAAGGGTGTTAGCGTCGACTAGCGCCTGGCAGTCGATGAGAATGCGCCCCGACCTAGCGCCGGTTAGCGCCGATTCGCAGGAGCCAGCAAGATGGCAATTATGGGAGGCCCCCAGGAGTTGCCACAGAAGAGCCGAGACAGCGGGGTTTGGCCTTCGCCTGGGGGGGCCCACGTCGCCGCGGCCGGAGGCGGCTCGGAAAGCTGGTGCGCCTGGACCCCGTGGGGGGGGGGGTCAGGGGGCCGGTCTCGAGCTGCGGTTGTCTCCCAACTCGCCCAGCTCCGACCGGGGTCAGCATCGCTTCCCCGGCCCCGATCCCCATCCTCCACCCCCATCCAGACCCCAACCACATCTCAGCACCCCGGCTCGGGATCCCCACCCCCCCCTCGAAACCCGAGGGCGACGGCCAGCAGCCCCATCTGGGGGGGGGGGGGGGCGTACATCGGCCAGGGGGGCCCGGGCCACGCCCCTGGGCATGGTGGTCGGTGAAACCGTGCGCCGGCCTGGGGCCGGCGCCGCCGCCGCCAGCGGCGGTGGCGGAGCGCGCGTGCGCGGTCGGGCGCCGGGACGTCGAGGCGCGGCCGCCCTGTGAGCACGCCGAGGAGCGGCCTCGCACGGTGCGGGCACGGAGGGCCGCACCGGGGGGGTTTGCCTCCGGCGCCACCAGGGTGGCAGGGGCGAGCGGCTCGTGAAGCAGCGGGAGCATGGCGGCCGAGGGGGAGGAGGAGGGAGGGGAGGGGGTGGACGGGGAGGTGAAGGATAGCAGTGGCGAGAAGGATGCGTTCAGGAACAAGAGGAAGGCCAGTGCAGAAGAAGGCCAATCATCGTTACCATAATAAGAATGCTCTAATGGCCGCCGGCTCATCTCGCCACCGTGCCTTGGTTGTGGTTATGAGGCGTGTTCGTTGGGATCTCGTGGGGGGCCTGTCGGGGGGGCGGGGGCGGGTACGTTTGAGGCCTCTGGGGGGCCGCGTCAGTGCGTGTATCAACGCTCTCTTGATACCACTCGCGACCTGGCCACCATTCTCCATGCACCTCCTCACCCCATCTCTTTCTGGCGACCCACCCCTCTCTCTCTCTCTCTCTCGCTCCCTCTCACCTCTCGACGCTGTGGCTCTCTTTCTATCCAGTTGCCCGGGCGCACGCGCGCGCGCGAGTGGGTGGTCCTCCTCCTCTTCCTTTCCTCCTCCTCCTCCTCCTCCTCCTCCTCCTCCTCCTCTCCTCTTGCTCCTCCATCTCGTGACCCCAAGCTCCTTTTCCGAGCTGCAATCAGCCTATTTCGTTCCCCATCCATTCCGCGTCCCTCTTGAGAGGGGACTGGGGTATGGCCGAACGAAGCACGGCGCTTACATTCGCCCCATTACTGAGGGGTGGGGGGATCATGATCGGGAGGATGATTGGGAACGTGTGGAAGCCTATCCGCTGGTCCGGGAGGCAAAGACATGTTGCCAACATTGGCTCTTGGAGTTTAATCTCCGTCTTTGTGGCCCCTTGGAAGGAGGAGGACGAGGAGGACGAAGAGTAGGGGGATAGGGGTGGTTGGCGGATCTTCCTCCCCCTCCTCCGCCACTGGAGGGGCCCTGCGTGCTCCGCCAGGGACAGGAGTATCTGGTCGTGTCGGCGGACCCTCTCTTCCTCGCTGCTTCTCCCCGACCCATGCCGAGCTGCAATCGCTCCGTCGGCGCCGTGGCGCCACCGCCTGGCCCCTCGCCGCGCGGCCCCGCGGGACGGGTCGGCGCCGTGGCCGTGCCCCTGTCCTGCGCGTCCCTCCTGCGCACCACACTCCTGTCTGCACCTCTCAGGGCGCGGCGCCTCGTGCCCTGTGCCTTCGACAGCGTTCGACCGCGATTCGCGCTCCCGTCTGCTGCCCGCGCTTGGCTCGCCGACCGAAAAGTCGCCGCCGCGCTCCCATCTGCCGCCGACCGAAGAGTGTCCACCGCCTCTCCCGCCGCCCCGGCTGCCAGGCTCGCCCGGCTACGTGGCGCCGGAGGTCGGCCCGGCGCCGGGGGGAGGGGAGGGGAACGCCGCTCGTGGGCGGGCGGGGGTGGGGCGCGGGGGCCCTGACTGGCGTGGCGACTGACCGGGAGATGCCGCCCCACCAAGGACGATGACGAGGGCGGGCGGGCGGCGGGCGGGGGCGGGCGGGCGGGCGGGCGGGCGGGCGGGCGGGGGCGGGCGGGCGGGCGGGCGGGGCGGGCGGGCGGGCGGGCGGGCGGAGGAGGAGGAGGAGGAGGAGGAGGAGGAGAGGAGGAAGGAGGAGGAGGAGAAGAGGAGGAAGAAGAGGAGGGGGAGGAGGAGGAGGAGGAGGAGGAGGAGGAGGACGAGGAGCAGGAGGAGGAGGAGGTGGAGGAGTAGGAGGAAGAGGAGGAGGGAGAAGAGGAGGGGGAGGGGGAGGAGGAGAAAGAAGCCACGGCGTGCCAAGGCCGTGACAGCGCGCCCGCCCTCCCACACAGGGCCAGCCGCGAACGTACCCCCCCACCATATTCACAATATGCACCGTAGTTCGGGGACTATGTTTTGCGTATTTGTTTGACCATTTTTTATATATACACACACTATTTCCGATGTTTCGTCAAAGATCCCCCTGTAGGGGGACACGCCCGACTTAATTATACTTGTACGTTGCGTTTCTTCATCTATTACATGCTGTTTCCATTGTTCTGATCCTTGCGTTACGCAGCGCAGCACTACGCGGCCCTTCACTGTTGCGGCTTCGACGTCTACATCATACGCCCCACACCCAGCGGCACTACTTGCACTGCCATTTTGGCCAAGCGACTCCACCCTCACTATGGCATTTTGCAAGCAGTAGCACAACGACCTCGTTGACTTCCTCTAACCCTGCCTGGCACCGCAGGGGGAGGGAAAACCGTGCACCGGCACGTACATTGCTACGGTACGGATAGCTACAGCGCGCACTTCAGTAGACCAACCGCTTCAGCAAGAGCTTCAAGCCGCCTCACATCTGCTCGAGCAGCAACATCGCGCACAGCAGCCACCTAGACACACGAGCTACACAATGCCCATCTTCGCGCAGGCACCCCAAGCCGAGGGCAAAGGCAAGGGGAAGTACCAGCACCAACCAAATCACACCGAAGGAAGGGGACCCACCTGGCAACCGATGGGCCACAAAGGTTACACCCACCCGACCTCACAGCACCCGTACCAGCAGCAGTGCGACAGCACCTACCACCAGCCAGCCAGCGCACCAGCACATTGACAACAACAGCCACATAGTCCACGACCGCCCAAACCAGCCTCTCGGGCCGTGGGCCGTCTCGGAGCGTTGGAGAACAGAGCAGGCGAGAACGCCCAAATCCTTCAAAGACCTACGGAGAATCACGGATTTTCGCCTGTTGGGGCCCTTGTGGGAGCCCTCTTGGGAGGCCTCTTGGGCCGTCTTGAGGTTGTCTTGGGGGCCTCGTAGGCCGTCGTGGAGCGTTGGAACAGAAAAGGCGAGAACGCCCAAATCCTTCAAACCCCTTAGGAAAATCACGGATTTTTGCCTGTTGGGGCTCTTTTGGGAGCCCTCTTGGAGGCCTCTTGGACCATCTTGGGGTTGTGTTGGAGGCCTCGTGGGCCGTCTCGGGCGTCTTGGAGCGATCTTGGGCTGTCTTGGAGGCCTCTTGGTGGCCTTGGTGGGCGTCTTGGGCCGTCATGGAAGGCATGGAGAGCCCCAGGAAGCGCCATGGCCGCCCAGGGACTTCCTGGGAGTAGGGCCGGTGCGCGCGGCGAGGTGCTGCGGTGAGAGGGGGGGGCCCTCAGGAAATTTCAGAAACCCTACCAGACAGCACTTGGCTAGCACGCCTCAGCGTGCCAGGGGCACGTTGGCATGTATGTATGTATGTATGTAGGTAGGTAGGTAGGTAGGTAGGTAGGTAGGTAGGTATGTATGTATGTATGTATGTCGGCGGTGCCTGGTGCGGAGCGACCCCCCCCCCCGGTAATCTCTCCTGGGGGGTTTCGAGCTGGCGCCATTCCCGGTGCGAGCCTGCACGAACCCCCCCGGTAAACACGACCTCCTCTGGTAGGCTGCACGAACCCCCCCGGTAAGGACGCAACCCCTCCGTAAGCGGCGCGCTCCCAGCACGCGCGAAACCCAGCCCCGACGCGCGAATCTTACCAGGACGGGCCGGAACACGGCGGCGGCATTGCATCCCAGGGCCGTGCCGGAACACGGCGGCACTGTTCTTCTCTACGCGGCCGTGCCGTCGACCCCCCACAGCGGCTCTCGGGAGTTGCGCCGCAGCCTCTCGTATTGTGGCCACGAGCCACAATACGAGAGGCTGCGGCGGAACAAAGGCGAGCAGACGCGAATAGAGAACACAAGGCGAGCACACGCCACACTTCGACAGGGAGCCACCCTTCCCAACCGCCCCCCTGCCCCCCCCCCAACCCACCCCCCACTCCCACCCCCCCACTCCCACAGGGGGGGGGGGGGAGCCCAGGTAGACGCAGTGCGGCCTGCACGAACCCCCCCGGTAAAGCGGCAAGGGGGGGGTGTTCTAAGCCGCTGGCGGCACCCGGTGCGGGCTGCACGAAACCCCCTGGTAGTGCACGAACCCCCCCGGTAGTGCTGGGGGGGGGGTTCGTGCCACGGCGCACCGCCGACATGTATGTATGTATGTATGTATGTATGTATGTATGTATGTATGTATGTATGTATGTATGTGTGTATGCATGCATGCATGTCTGTGTGTATGTCTGTATGTATGCATGTATGCCATGTAATGTATGTAATGTAATATAATGGAATGTAATGTAATGTAGTGTAATGTAATGTAATATAATGTAATGCCATATAATGTAATGCATGTATGTGTGTGTGTATGTGTGTATGTATGCATGTATGGATGTATGTAATGTAATGTAATGTAATGTAATGTGATGTGATGTGATGTGATGTAATGTAATGCAATGCAGTGTAATGTAAAGTAATATAATGTAATGTAATGTAATGCAATGTAATGTAATGTATTGTATTGGAATGTATTGTAATGCAATGTAGTGTCGGTGAAATAATGTAGTCCAACGTAGTGTAGTGTTGTGTAGTGTCATGTAATGTATTGCAATGTAATGTAATTTATTACAATGCAATGTAATGTAGTGTAGTGTAATGTAGTGTAGTGTATGTATGTGTGTAGGTATGTAGGTATGTAGATAGCTATGCCTGCATGCATGCATGCATGCATGCATGCATGCATGCATGTATGTATGTATGTATGTATGTATGTATGTACGTCTGCATGTATGTCTGTACGCATGTATGTATGTATGTATGCATGCATGCATGCATGCATGCATGCATGCATGTATGAATGGATGTATGTACGTACGTACGTACGTACGTGCGTATGTCTGTGCGTATGTATGTATGTATGTATGTATGTATGTATGCATGCATGCATGTATGTATGTATGTATGTATGTATGTATGTATGTATGTATGTATGTATGTATGTATGTATGTACGCATGCATGCATGCATGCATGTATGTATGTATGTATGTATGTATGCATGTATGTATGTATGCATGCATGCATGCATGCATGCATGCATGCATGCATGTAGGTATGTATGTATGTATGTATGTATGTATGTATGTATGTATGTATGTGTTTATGTATGTATGTATGTATGTATGTATGTATGTATGCATGCATGTATGTATGTATGTATGTATGTATGTATGTATGTATGTATGTATGTATGTACGTACGTACGCACGCACGCACGCACGCACGCACGCACGCACGCACGCACGCACGCACGTATGTATGTATGTATGTACGTATGTTTACATACGAATAAGCAAGTGGCACGTGTGCCATGGCTCCTGCACAACAAGGAAGGGGGGAGGAGGAGGAGGTGGAGGAGGAGGGGGGAAGAGGGGGCAAGACATCGCCCCTCGGGGCCCAGCAACGGGGCCCAAATCCCAGGTGGGGATGGGGAGGGGGAGGTGGTGTGTGCGTCGCGACGCGGAATAAAATGGTCGGGGCGGAGGGGGCACGTGGCGGAGGTTCTACTTGGGGCATGGGGGCGCGGGAGGAGGGGGGGGGGGAGGGTGTGTGCGTCGCGACGCGGAATAAATGGTCGGGCGGAGGGGGCATTGGGCGGGGCTTGGGGCAGATGGCCACGGGGCGGGGGTCCAACTGGGGCGCTGGGGACGGGGGCGAGGGGGAAAGGTGGTGTGCGTCGCGACGCGGAATAAAATTGTCGGGGCGGAGGGGGCACGGGGCGGAGCCCCCTTTGGGGCGCTGGGGACGCGGGGAGGGAGATGGGGGAGGTGGTGTGCGTCGCGACGCGGAATAAAGCGTTCGTGGTGGAGGGGGCAGTGGGCGGGGCTCCCGCTGGGGCGCTGGGGACGCGGGGGGGCTCGGGGCAGAGAGCCACGGCGCGGGGGTCCCACTGGCGCTGGGGACGCGGGGGGAGGGGGGGTGTGCGACGCGGAATAA